TTTGAACTCAAGGCCTCATGCCATGTAGCAAAAATGCTCAATTGCAGAGGTAATCACTAAAACACAGGATATAATCATACAGAAATGTCCTGTGCCTCTACCTGGGCAAAAGGAAATGAATTAGATCTTTGCCAGAGCTGTCAAAGAACACATAAATACATCTGAAAAATGTCAGGCAGAATGACTCAGGATGTAAGAGTGCATACATATCTGCTACTTCCACATAGGACTAGAATTATAGCTTCTCTAGGTTTGAGATAGTATTAGAATTCTGTCTCAATGCATAAACTCACATGTCATCTATTCTTGCCATTATTTTGGTTTTAAAAACATGCTAATCAAAATGTAATGATTCATAATTAGAACATGATGCTTTGAAAAATGTATACAATACAGAGGGATGAAATTAGGCTATTAACTGGATACACTGCTTTTCATACTTGTAATTATTTCATTGTAATTAGAATACATACATTGCAGCTGAGCAACAGTGGCCCACCACCTGTCATACCAGCTTCTCAGGTGCAGAGATCAGGAGGATCATGGGTTCAAATCCAGTTCAGGCACATATTCTGTATTTCTCATTTATATCTTATAAAATGTGTTGGGAGATGGAGACTTTTTTTTTTGGCAGCACTACGTTTGAACTCAGGGCCTCAGTCTTCTAGACAGGCACTCTTACCACTTGAATTACTCCAACAGCCCTTGTGTTGGGTGTTTTTGAGAAAATGTCTCTAACTATTTGCCTGGACTGGCTTCCAACAGTGATTACCAGATCTCTGAGTCTGGAGTAGGTAGGATTTACAGGTGTGAGGCACTGGAACCAAGATTGCAAATGATATTTTGAATACTTTCACTAGTATTTTTTCAACTACTCACATCTTTCAGTGTAAAATGATTTCTCTTGAAAGGAACAGAGTTAGTTCTTTTTTTCTAATCAACTATATCACTGTTGTTTAATTGGTGCATTTAAATATTCACATCTTGATACAATTGATAGATTAATTAGTAGCTCATTGTAGCTGTTTATTTTATTTGAGGTACTGGGGTTTGAGCTGAGGGCTTCATGCTCACTAAGCAGGTGTCTACCATTTGAACTATGATTTCAACCCTTCTAATGTTTCTTATTGAAACAATTAGTGGCTGAAATTTAATGTGAGAACCTAGCAGAGCTTTTGGAGGTGAAACTCTCATATGTATGATGTCCTCTAAACCTGAATCTCTTCTAGAATTTATCTGTCAAACTACTGGACATTTAGCCTTCAGCAGTTCATCAGCTGCAGTTCAAGTTTTCCTTTCTTTTTTTCTCCTTATAAGCTTTTTTTTCCCAGGAAGCTATGATTTCTTAGGTTGATCTCTTTATCTTGCCAATTTTGGGACAGTTTGCCTGCTGAACTAGTTGTTCAGGGCCTTTGTTTAAGTACCCAGTGTATTTCTGCATTGTGGTTTTACATAATTCAGCATTTTATAGGATTCCCTTGTCTGAATTCCTACATGGTTGAAACTATTCCTAAATGGTAGCAGTGTTCATTTATAGCTTCCAGTCAAAACCAGTACTTATTTTGTGCATGGTGTTGTATTCTGGCCATTTCTCATTATAATTCCACTCATATAGCTTACTCTGAAAGCTAATACTTTTTTTTTGATGTGGATCTTAAACTCCAGGCACCCAAATTGTGAAACAGGCTAGAGTCACACCTCCATTGCATTTTGCTCTGGTTATATTGGAGATGGGGTCTGGCAAAAAACTTGCTGGGGCTGGCTTCTAACCTCTATTCTCTAGATCTCAGCCTCCCAAGTAGTTAGTAGTACAGGGATAAGACACTGTTGCCTGGCTAACTAATACTTTTACATTATATGTATTGCAGGTATTTTTATTCTACCTTGTTGATTGTCTTTTACCTTCAGTTGTTTTAGTACATTTTATTTCTCCATCCAGTTCTTATCCTGAATTTTTCCAAAACAAAATATTTCTTACATCTGTAATAGATTTGAGTGGCTTCTCAAATTGTTTTAAATTTTTATCTTTCCCAACCCAACTTATAATTTGTCTAAGGATCACGATATAGATGAGAACACAATGCACGTGCCCATGTAAGAACTACTTCATCCCTGCTTTGTCTGTTCTTGAAATTTGTGGGGCTGGTGGCTCATGCATGTAATCTCTAGCAGTAGGTGTGGCTACCTACCAAGCTTGAAGAACTGAATTCAAACCCAGTGTCATCAAAAAAAATTCCCCACCTCCCAACACATTCCACAAGCTAATAATGAACAATACAGAATATGTGCCTGAGAAGCCAAATCTGCTCTTACTAGGGAAGGATGAATGATTCAAAATGGCTTTAAGAACACAAGTTTGTGTTGGCCTTCTGGGTCTTTCCTTGCTTAGGGGGACATCTCTGAAGCTGCATGGCTACTTCCCACATGCTCCATCTCTCTTTCCAGTGACAGAGAGTTGAAGAGCATGGTGGTGTGGAAGAGAACAAAAGAAAGGACATGATGAACTTCAATCACTGAGATGGACTGGGCAGTCATAAATAACTAACCTGAAATTATACCTGTGACAATTTTTTTGGGTGGGACTAGGATTTAAACTGAGGGCCTCAGGCTTCTTAGGCAGGCCCTCTACCCTCCACCAGTTGAGCAACTCTGTCAGCAATTTTTGTAAGGGAATTTTTGAGACTATATCACATATCAATTATAAATATATTTTAATTAGTGATTTGAATACACAACAAACTAGTATTTGCCATTTCTCTTCTGATATTATTTTTGAATTTAAAATATTACTGTGGTTTTTGGGGGGTGGGGAAGCGCTAGGGCTTGAACTCAGGGCCTTCACACTTGTGAGGCTGGTGCTGTTACCACATGATCCACTCTGCCAGCCTTTAGAAATTACGTTATACAAGCTCAAAAAGTGAGTTCTAAGCCGAGAAACAGGATGCTTAGGTCTTCCATGTCTGGCAAGGAACCAGTGCTAATTCAATCACATGCATGACCAACTTGTGCAACTAAGTGACTGTGCCCATGGAAGGGATTGCCTCTTCTTACTTTCTTTCTACATTACATGACTGTGACTTGGTTTATGTCTTTCAAGGACACTCAGTAGACGTAGGCTTTCCCACACTGGTAGCATACACAGGTTTTGCCTCAGGGTGAGTTTCTCTAAATCTTCCATCGTTGCTGGAAAATAAAAGAGTTTCATATATTGTTTACATTCATAAGGATTCACTCCAGTGTGAATTCATTCATATGTTTTGAAGTACCTGGATAAAGTAAAGGCTTTCCCACATTGCTTACATGCAGAGGTCTTCCTTCCATTGTGAAGTCCTTCATGTGTTTGGGGTTACTGAAAGGACTAAAATGTTTTCCACATTACTTACAAATATAGGGTTTCTCACCACTGTGAGCTTTTTCATGTTTTCTAAGGGCTTTGGACCAATAGGATGCTTTCCCACATTATTTACATTCAAAATTCTGCTCTCCAATGTGAATTCCTTCATGTAATTTCAGGCACCTTGAAGTAGTAAAATCTTTTCCATGTTACTGGCTTACATAGGTTTTCTCACTACAATGAATTTGTTTATGTGATCTAAGGCCACTGGACCAATAGAAGGCTTTCCCACATTGTTTACATGCACAAGGTTTTGCTCCTGTGTGAATTCCTTCAGGTTTTTCAAGGTAATTGGACAACCTAAAGGCTTTTCCACATGCTTACATGCAAAATTCTTCTCTCCACTGTGAATTTGCCCGTTTCTTTTAAGGTAACTGGAAAAAATAAAACCTTTTCCACATTGTGTACATATATAGGGTTTCTCACCACAGTGACTTCCTTCATGTATTCTAAAGTCAATGGACCAACAGAAGGATTTCCCACACTGTTTACATGCATAAGGTTTTGCTCCAGTGTGAATTCTTTTATGTGCTTTGAGGGATCAGTATATACTAAAGGCTTTTCCACATTGCTCACATGCAAATGGCTTCTCTCCACTGTGACTTCTTTCATGGGTTTTCAGGGAACTGGAATGACTAAAAGCTTTTCCACATTGCTCACATACATAGGGTTTTTCACCACTATGAGTCTTTATGTGTCTTCAAAGTTCACTGGAACAATAGAAGGTTTTCCCATTGTTTACATGCATAAGGTTTTGCTCCAGTGTGAATTCGTTCATGTCTTCTGAGGTTATTGGATGATCTAAAAGTTTTTCCACATTGCTTACATGCAAAAGGCTTCGCTCCACTTTGAGTTCTTTCATGTGTTTTCAGGGAACCGGAATGACTAAAAGCTTTCCCACATTGCTCACATACATAGGGTTTTTCACCACTGTGAATTTTTAGTGTCTTTGAAGTTCACTGGACAAATAGAAGGCTTTCCCACATTGTTTACATTCATAAGGTTTTGCTCCAATGTGAAGTCGTTCATGTTTTTTGAGGTTCATCCAGGTGGATGAACTAAAGACTTTTCCACATTGCTTCCATGTAAAAGGCTTCATTTGACTGTGAAAACACTCAAGTGTTTTCAGGTAACTAGCAGAACTGAAGGCTTTTCACATTGCTCGCATACATAGTTTTTCCGTAATGCAAATTCTTTCATGTTTTTCAACAGTACACAAATGTGACATGGGTTTACCACATTGCTTGCAAACATATGGTTTTTCTCCACCATGAGTCAGTTCACGTTTGCAAATGCCACTAAAATGAAAGGAGTCTTTTCACATTGCATACATGGAAATGATGTCTCTCCAGGATGAATTCTTTCATGCCATTTAAGAAATGTGGAATCAGGAAAGGTTTTTCCAGAATACTTCCTTTTAAGTGACTTTTTGAAATATTCCTCATACTCATGTGGTTCAGATCCACTCTGAGTTCTGAAGGGCAGACTCAGGGATGGATGCCCAATGAAGACTTCTGTACACACACAGTTGTCATTTGTTCCCACTCCAGCAGGAGTATTATTGCTCATGATATGTTCTGGAGTATGGTTGAACACTTCTCCACACTGAATATCTTCTTTGTGTTCACGGAATCCCCCTACCACTTGACTTCTAGAAATAATGAGAAACACATTACTAAGCTGTATTTTCAAATACATTCCAGGAGTAATAAAGTTTATGCCTAGAATTTTTGACCATGCAGAATGGTTCCAGGAGATATATTGTCAAACCAGTGGTATGGTTTTGGGTATCTGAAGATTCCATTCCAGGGTTTTGCAAACAATGACTACCTAATTTACATTTAAATGCATTTGAGTATTGTACATGGAAAAGCTGTGAGCAAAATCGTTTATATTTTGAAGAATTTGCATGATCCTAAGAAGCTATATTGAAGATTGTAGGCACCAATCCAAACACAGAATTCATTTTCTGCAAATGCACCATATATTCACATCCTTAAAGAAAGTTCAAATAATCATATTTTTCACAATTTATTGAATGAAATGTTTTGTACATAGAAACTGCAGATTATCACTGGGGTATCATGGTGGTAATACATACTTCTGATATTGGAAAATTTTGGATTGGAATTTCCTGGGTTTGTGTGTGTGTGTGTGTGTAGGACTGGTGTTTGAACTGAAGGACTCACAGTGGCTAGACAGACACTTTACCACCTGCAACAGTCTGCCAGACCTTTAATGTGTTAGGAATTTTTGAGTTAGGGTTTCAAGAATTACTTGCCAAAGGATGGTTTCAAATTTCCATCATCCTGATCTATACCTAACAAATACCTACGATTACAGGTATGACACAACAGCATGTTGCCTCATCATGCTGCAACAACAACAAAAACCACTTCTTTCATTTTTTTGTAAGGATAAGGTCTGAACGCAAGGCATACTGCTTGAAAGCAATCCTCACGGTGGCTAAGATAGCACTATACTGGTTCACTTGAGAAAGTCTACCACCCTACAACATCCTTTTGCTTTTGACAAATTAATTCTGGTTGTCAGAACAGCTCAAGAGGTACAGCACCTGTGTAGCAAGCTGAAGGCCCAGAGATTAATCCTGAGCACAAAGGAAAAAAAATGCAATTTTCCCCTGACTCTTTTAATTCATCTTTTCTTATGCATTGGGGTTTGAACTTGGTGATTCACACCTGCAATGCATGCACCCTATCAGTTGGGACACACCTATAGTCCTCTGTTTAAGTGACACTTCTTGTTCCCTCTCATTTCTTTTTGAATATTTTTACTGCTATATGGTATTTATATGTGTTATTTCATTGTGAGATTCCTATATATATACATATTTTATATCGCAGGTTGTTTCATCCCCTTTTTCATGGTTCTTCCTGCCCAATTCCCCACCTTAAAATAACTTCAATAGGTTTCACAGTTCCATATAAATGCATGTGCAGAAAGTACATCAAACATGGTGGGGGAGTGGCTAGCTCCTGTAATCCTAGCTTCTAGGGAGAATGAGACTTAGAGGATCCAGTTTCAAGGTCCAACAGGGCAAATATTTCTTAAGACCCATGTCCAACAAACCCAGAGCAAAACACACTGGAGGGATGCTGCAAGTGTTAGAATGCTTGCCTTGCCAGTTCCAAGCGCAGAGTACAAACCACAACTCCTTCCCCCAACCCTGCGAATAAAGGCAAATCAACCATACCCTTTTGACCTTCTTCATTTACCTCTCCCATCTCACTACTGACCTCCTCTTCACATAACCTGTTTCACATTCCTTTCCTTCAGTGACTAAGTTCTTTCTGTTGTGAGTGCAAATTACCTTAGATTTCTTCTGGAATTTCTGTAAACCTCTTCAATGGTCTGATCTTCCTCTGTTTTGATTTTTTTTAATAAAATAGAAGCAGAAAAAGAAGATATTTTGAATAACATTACTATAGAATAACTACTAGATTCTAAGTAGGTTTATGGTATATTCTACTGAATTGATGGTTTCCACATTCGAAATTATTCCAAAGCATTGAAGAGCAACAAACACTGGTTCTCTCATTGATAAGGGACTGAAGTCATCCTTACCAACAGAGGCCAGGTTCCTGAAGGTTTCTACCATCACATCCCTGCACAGCTTCAGTTGTGAAGGATCCAGCAAAGCCCACTCTTCCTGGGTGAACTTGACACACACATCATCAAAGGTCACAGGTGCCTAAAACATGAAAGGTGTATTTCAAGGAGGAAGGTCAGACTAATAGTACTGAAGATATAGACTTCAAGTGTTCACATGATGCTGGGTTCTCAAAATGTTCATTCCATGTCTTGGGCATTAAACATTTCATTTTTATGCAAACCCACACTCTTTCACATAGCATTTTCAATACTCGCTTGAAAATATCTGTGAAAACAGCAGTAGCAAAACAAACTGAATACCCTGAACTACCCCAATTTCTTATTAAAGAGTGGGTCTATAATTTCTGTCATATGCTGAACTGCAATTCAGCTTGCACAAGACAATTAACTAACTGGTAAGTATGCCCTGATTTCAAGCCACACTCCCACGAGGAAAAACAAAAGAAAAAACAAAACAAACAAAAATCACTTCTCCTGAGACTATGTATTCTTAGAAATGTTTGAACACAAAGTTCAACTGTGCCTGGAACTTTGTTGGCATTCAACTCATCAGGTAAAATGAAAGAGAACTGTGGGTTCCAAACAGTTTCCATGATCAACATGCAATTTTTTTTCCAGTACTGGAGTTTGAACTCAGACCCTATACCTTCAGCCAATCAACCAGTTATTTTTGTGAAGGGTTTTTCATTATAGAGTCTCATGAACTATGTGAGAAGCAGGTTTTGAATCTCATTTCCCCTAATCTCTGCCTCCTTTTTTTTTTGGTGATAACAGGATTAGGATACAGGTCTTCTTCCTTGCAAAATACCCTCTCTACCACTTTTCTCATACCTCCAGTGCATTTAACTCTGCTAACACTGCAGATGGGGGTCTCTTAAACTATTTGGCATGGCTTCTTGGAAACAGAAGCCCCGATGTGAAACTCCTAGGTAGCCAGGATTAAAGGGATGGGCCATTGTTTCCCAGTAGCCTATCTTGTCAAGCACTGTAATCTCCCTTTCTTCAATTCAACTCAGCCTCACTTATGTTGTTCACTTTAAATTATTCATTTGACATCGTCTTCCAGAATTCACTCATAGTTGTGGGTAGAGGAAAATGTTTTGATTCTCTTTTTGCTACCTCTCAAACACTACATGTTCGAGAACACACGTGGAACATTCTAAACTGACTGTCACCTTTGTAAATTCCAGGAATTTCAACACAACACTTAGAAATCCACAGTTCAAACAGGCTGTGAAAATTAAAGCTAACCTCAATGCAAGAGGGAATATCATTATTTGAGGAGTAACAACTCATAAAACTACAGGCTTTCTGTACTATTTAGAAGAATTTCTTTCTTATGAATGAAGACTTCAAGAAAGCAATAAAGCTAATTGAAGTGTGAGTAATGACACTTCCTGAGGAAGGGACATTTAAGCTGAGTCCCAAAATAATGTATTAATTTACACAGGAAGGGGATAGGATACAGAACACATGGCAGAATAAGGTGTATGTTGAATTTATTGCCCCTCAGTGAAAATTTCACTGCCAACCCCTCTCTCATGTAGGTATTTCAAGACTCAGGTGTCTACAGAAGATTGTTGTTTTCAGAAAAAGGACTGAATAGTAAATTGTACTTAATTGTAGTCAGTTTCAACTCAGCACAGTACCAATGACAGAATGCTGCACTTCCTTTGCAAAAACCAATTGCATGAGTTTGAGAAACCACTTGGATGCAGAGGGTAGAGTTCAGGGTGAGCCAAAAGTCTCTGTTTGGCAGACACTGTGCAGCTCTCCATCAATGTGTCTTTTTCAGGGGGTACATTCTTGTTGAATTCCCTCAATTGTATCCTGGTCCCTGTCCTCCATCTGATGTGATTTTCAAGGAACTGAAGGTAACAGTCATGACTTTTACTTTCACTTTTCTTTTCCTCTTCTGCTAACCAGACAATGAATACCAGTTCATGTAACCTTAACCAAAGAATGGGGAAAATGACAACGTCAATATGAACACATAGAAAAAGTGTCCCTAATTTTCATTTCCCACTGTTTCACTGCACAAAAATATTCCACTCAATGAACAACATAAAAAGCAACCCAGTAGCTGGGTGTAGGTGGCTTCTACCTATAATCCAGTAAAACAGGTAATCCTAAAGGGAAAGTAAGAAGATAATGTGACAGAAAGGGGCCAGGGAGAAGGTGTATGTTTTTCAAACTATGCTCCAAGTAGGCACTACCTTCCAGAGTTGAAACACCTCCAAGTAGACTATATTAAATTTGAATCCATCAATGGATGGGGGCTAGCCAAAATTTCTCATCTTCTTTTTTGTGTTTGTGTGTAGTGCTGGAGATTGGATCCAGGTTGTTGTGCTTGCTAAGCAAATACTCAACCATTAAGCCACACATTCCTAGCCTGTCAAGTGCTGTTGTTATTGTTCTTGTTTCTCTTTTTAAACATGTTACTGCCCCAAATCACAACTTGGCATATCAACATAAAATATACAAAAGAATATGTGAATGAAGCCCATAAAAACTTCATTCCAGGCACTCATCCCAGCATATGGGAGGCAAAAGAAGGATTGTGAGTTCACTCACATCCTGAGCTACTTAGGGTGACTCTACATAAAAAAGAAAAAAACCAGGAGTCTTGTTTCATTTCCTGGGTGGGGACAGGAAATAATTCTCTCTTTCTTTCACTAGGTAAAACCCTTGTCTATACTTCAACCTGTCATACTAAAATAAATGAAAACAACAACAACATCAAGAACAAAAGAAAGCCATGCACAGCAGGTGCTGAGAATGTATTTTGTCTATTTGGATCATAGACCCAAATGCAAAACCTAAACTTCATGGTCTCAAAGAATATGGGAAATCATTTTACCTTGGTTGCATACAAAAATTCAGGTATGACCAACATGCAGGATGCATCAAAGATTTAGATACCACAGGTTGCTGGCCCTCGTGAACCATGCCTGCTTTCCTACCTCACAGGAACAGAGATCAGGAGAAATATATCCATAGACTCTACCTCAAAAGTACCCAACACAGGAGTGGTGGAATAGCTCAAGTGGAGGAAAGAGTGGCTGCCTAGCAAGGAGGAGATCCTGAGTTCAAAACTCAGGGCTCCATCACTATGTCACATATCAGACAGCCTCATAGCAGAAGGCACAGCAGAACCTCTCAGCCTGGTATGCCTAGGAAGTGCTGCTTGCTGGAGGTGACTGTTACCTGAGTGATCGAAACACATTTGGCTTGCCAAAGGTCTAGACATGACTTTGGTTAGAGATTTTTACAACTTTCCTTGTAAGGGGAAAAGAAAAAACATGAAAAAAAATCATTAGTTCAATGTGCAAATTCATATTTTATGGATGTAAAATGTTCAGGTGTCTACAAGATTATCCCAGTTGTCAGCCATGTGCAAACAGTGCTTCTTTGTGTTAACCTGCAGGAGAAGCCAGGCTCATGGAAGGTTGCTCTTTTGGAAGAAAGCAACACTACTGATCTATAAATCTTCTGAAATTTCTGTCTTCTCACACAAAGCCATGTAATTTAATGACTCTCCAAGATAATGCAACTATATTTGATTTTCTGAGGCATAAAAAATGACCTCCTATTTACTGTTAGTTTTCTAATCACTTCTCCATTCTGGAAAAAAAAGGAGAACAATGTTGAATACAAGACTTGGGAGAAATGCAGACATAATGTTCAAAGGACTAAAAACTTCAATTGGGCCGGGCACACTGGTGGCACATGTGTGTAATCCTAGTGACTCAGGAGTCACACAGCAGGAGGGGACAAGTTTGAAGCCAGACCTGGACAAATACTTCATGAGACCTTATCTGAAAAATCCCATCACAGAAATGGACTGGAACAGTGTCTCAAGAAGTGAGAGCACCTGCCTAGCAAGCATGTGGACCCAAGTTCAAAACAACTACAAAAAATCCAAACAAAACAACAAAAGGAGAAAAAAAAAATAAAAAAACCACTTTAATTGGACAGGAAGGCAGACATCAGGAGGATCAGGGTGGGAAGCCAATCCAGGGAAACAGTTTACACAATAGTATCTCAAAAATCACCGCAAAAAACACTTGATGTAGTTTCTGAAGGATTACAGGGCCTAATAGGAAGCACCAGGCCTTCAATTTAAGCCCCAATCCCACAGGGAAAAAAATTGCTTCTCAGTGAGGTGAGTGCATCCCCTGTGGCTAAAAAGGTAGACAGGCATCAGATGTTTGTACTTTTGTTCTTGTAGTCTATTCTGAATGAATAATAAGACAGGACACAGGAAGGATAATTAGTGTGCACATAGATCAAAATTATACCTTTTATTTGGGAATGTCAACAGGTAAAAGAAGGAAAGGGATGACACATAGCCTTAGAAAGAGCTCACTGTCACCAAGATTTGAGGGCTACAGAGACATATAACATACAATTTCAGTCTGGAGTCAGTGACTCATTCCTGTATTCCTAGCTACTCAAGAAGCAGAGATCAGGAGGCTTTTGGCTGGAAGCCAATCTGGAAAAAAGCCATCAGGAAAAATGGGCTGGCAAAGTGGATCAGGCAGTAAGAGATCCTGCTTAGGAAACTTGAGGCCCTGAGTTCAAACCCTGGTACCAAAAAAACCAAAAACATCCTATAATTGCCAAATTACAGCTTTGAACAGTCCAAGAAACCTAAAATTCCCTAGTTATATCAAATTCTTAAAAATACTGAAGAGCTTTGGACTAAGAATATACATTGTCTAACATTATATAAGAATGTCCAAGGTTCAGCAAGAAGTAACACAAAACAAATAAGGATTAAAAACATGTGAAAATGAATCTAATATTTAAAAGGAACAAACATGTCAATGGTCAAAAGTGACAACACTGTATAAGAAGACACACAGACAAACATGGTAAGCTGCAATTATTGTAAAAAACAATTAACCCAACACTTTTTAAGTCTCTTGCTTCCTGCATACCTGGGATCTCTGACCCACCCTTGGCCTAAACCCATACACCATTTCTCC